TGGAGGAAGGCGCGGGGGGGCAATGAGAGAGATGGGTGATGGGTATTTAGCAGGGTACTTGTTATGATGAGCACTGAGTGTTGTACATAAGTGATGAATCACTGAATTCTCCTCCTGAAACCAATACTGCACTGTATGTACACTGACTAGAATTTAAACAAAAATCTGAAGGGAAAAAAAAAGAAATAACATCAGTTATTACAAAAATCTACCAGAAAACAAAAGAGAAACCAACATTTTATGAAGCCAACATTACCTTGATTAAACAGTCATTACAAGAAAACTACATACTGGGGTGCCTGGGTGGCTTAGTTGGTTAAACTTCTGACTCTTGATTTTGGTTCAGGTCATATCTCTGGGTTCATGGGATCAAGTGCCATGTTGGGCTCTGCTCTGACAGTGCAGAGCCTACTTGGGAATCTCTCTCTCCCATTCTCTCTGCCTCTCCCCAACTCATGCTCTCTCTCTCTCAAAATAAATAAACATTAAAAAAATTATATGCCATTATGTCCACATAAGAAATCACAAAACACTCAACAAAATGTGATTTAAATCGAGCCACAAAGTTGACTCAATATCCAAAAATCAATATAATTCGCCTTATCGATAAGCTAAAGAGAAAAACCATAAGATCATCTCAACAGATGCAGGAAGAGACTACCTAATAAAATTCAACATCCATTCAAAATATACATTCTCAGTAAACTACCAATGGAAAGGAATGTCCTCAACCTGAAAAACCTAGAGGCTGAATGCGAGTGCTTTCCCCTGAAGATCAGGATAAGGCAAGGATGTCTACCGTCACCACTCCTCTTCAACAATGAACTTACAGCCAGTGCAATAAGGCAAGAGTAAGAAATACAAAGCACACTGACTGAAAAGGAAAGAAAAATAAAACTTTTTTATTTGCAAAAGAGATAACCTACATAGATAATCTCACAGAATCTGCTAAAAAGTACTATAATATGTGAATTTAGCAAGGTCACAGGATACAAGGTCAATGCATAAAAACCCATCTTATTTTCTATACATTAGCAAAGAACAAAAGGAAACTGGAATTTTGAAAAAGCATCTTTTAAAAGAGCATTCCCAAAACATGAAATATTTAGATACAAAGGATATGCAAGAATTGCATGCTGAAAATTACAAAATTTTGATGAGAAATAAAAGAACACTTAAATAATAATGGAGAAATACAAAGTTTTCATGAATCAGAAGATTCAGTGTTGTAAAAATATTATCCTCAATTTGATCTACTTAGTCGACAAATCACAATAAAAATCCCAGCAGATTTTTTTTAATAGAAACTGACAAGTTGATTCTAAAATTTATATGGCTAAGCAAAGCACCTAGAATATCCAGAAAAAATTTTTTGGTGAAGAATAAAGATGTCTGCAATGACACAGAGCTAAACAGTATTATGCTAAGTGAAATAAGATAGATAAATATCATGTGATTTCACTCATGTGGAATTTAAGAAACAAATGAACAAAGGGAAAAACGGGGCAGTGGGGGTGGGCAAGAGGCAAACCAAGAAACAGACTCTTAACTACAGAGAACAAACTAATGGTTACCAGAGGGGAGGTGGGTAGGGGATGAGTTAAATAGGTCTGGGCATTAAGGAGTGCACTTGTTGCGATGAGCACCAAGTGCTGTAGGGAAGTGTTGAATCACTATATTGTACATCTGAAACTAATATTACACTGTATGTCACCTAGAATTTAAGTTAAAACTTTAAAAAAATAGAAAAAATAAAGATGGAAGACTCATACCAACTGATTTCAAAAATTACTATAATGATACTGTAATCAAGACTACAGTATTGGTTAAAAGAGAGACATATAGATCAACAAATCAGAAAATAATCTCTAAAAACAGACGTACACACATAGTCAATTGGCTATTAAAAATTTTACTGATGCTATATTTTGCATACACCTTTTCAAGTGTATAATCCATGGTCAGCTGATTTTTGATAAAGGTATCAAAGTAATTCAATAGATAAGATATACTTTTTTCAACAAACAGTGCTGGAACAATTGGATATCCATACATTAAAAAAAAAAAAAGAACTCAACTCATACCTTGCAATATATAAAAAAAAGTCAACTTGAACTGGATCATAAACCTAAGTATAAAACCTAAAACTATAAAACCTCCTGGAAGAAAACATAGAAGAAAATTTTTGTGACCTTTGAGTAGGCAAGAATTGTTTGGATGGGGAACAAAAAGTATAAATCGTGAAAGAAAAAAGTTGTTAAACTTGTTATCAAATTGAAATCTCTGATCTTCAAAAGATACAAACTGGGAGACAATATTTGCAGAACACTTACCTGATAAATGATGTGTGCTCAGAATATACAAAGAACTCTCAAAACTCAACTTAAAAAAAGATTCAAGACAATTTAAAAATGAGCAAAGGATGGAGTGCCTGGATGGCTGTCAGCTGAGCGCCCAGCTTTGGCTCAGGTCATGATCTCACATTTCAGGAGTTCAAACTCCACGTAGGGCTCACTGGTGTCAGCGCAGAGCCCACTTCTGATCCTCTGTCCCATTCTCTCTCTGCCCCTAGCCCACTCATGCTCTCTCAAAAATAAATAAAACATTTTAAACAAATGAGCAAAGGAAGAAGTAGGAAGCAAATAAGCATATGACAAGATGCTCAACATCACTGGATATTAGGGAAACGCAAATTAAAACCACTATGAGATAGTACTATAAACCTATTAAAACAGTTTTAAAAACAAAAACTGATACTACCAAGTGCTGGTAAATATATAGAGCAATTTGAACTCCAATACAGTGCTAGTAGGAATACAAAACGATCTAGCTACTTTGGAAAACGGTTTGGGAGTGTCTTACAAAGACAGGCATACACATACCATATGACTCAGCAATCCCACTCATAGGTATTTACCAAAGGGAAGTGAAACGTATGTCCACACACAAAGACCTGCACACAAATGTTTATGGTGGCCTTATCCACAGGAGACCAAAACTGAAAATAATCCAATTCCTTCAACTGGTTATGGATTTTTAAAAATGTGACATGTCCAGACAACGGAATACTATTCAGCATAAAAAAACCAATGAACTACTAATATATGCAATCAGATAGATGAAATCTCAAACGCATTAAGCTAAAACAGGAATTTGCAAATTCTTCCTGTAATGGAGCAACTCAGTAAATACGTTTTCAGACTATATAGTCTCTGTTATAACTATTCAACTCTGCAACTGTAGTATGAAAACATAAGTATGGCTGTGTTGTTGTTTTTTTTGGGGGGGGGGGCTGTGTTCTGATAAAACTTTATACACAACAGGCAGCAGGCCTGATATGGTCCACAAGCCTGATATGGTCCACCAACCCCTGGGCTAAATCGAAGAAGCCAGACACAAATGGTTGTATTAAATTAATCCATTTTTATGGTAATTGAAAAAAGCAAACATAAAGAGACAGAAGTAAAGTCAGTGGTTGTCGGGGCCTGGGGGTAGGGGTAAGGGATCAATTAGAAAGGAGCACCAGGGAACTTTCGGAAACGAAGGAAATGTTCTGTATCTTGATTGTGGTGGGGGCTACAGGGCTGTACGTGTCTATGAAATTCCTATTACACTGAATACCTACAAAGGGCGAATTTTACTACGCAAAATATGCTTCAACAATCCTGTCTTAGAAAGAAAGGAATGGAAGAAGTAAGATCAAGGGAGAAAGGAAGGAAGCCAGCCATTCTTTGGTCCCTGATTCAAATAAACTAAAAAAAAATTTTTGAGATGATCAAAAATCAAGGAAATTTAAACACTCACTGGATATTTGGTGATGTTTTAAAAATTACTTTTCATATTTTTCATATGTGATAATGACATTTTTTTAAGGAAAGTTCTTACTTTTAGAGATACATACTGAAGTTCTTACAGACGAAATTATATTATGTCTGGATTTTTTTTTAAATAGTCCAGTTGAGATAAATAGAAATGTACTGATAATTGCTGAAGACCAGTGGTGGGTTAACAGGGGTTCATTATATTATTCTTGCTACTCTTATACATGTTTGAACATTTCTACAACAACCAAGTTGGGTTGTTTTTTTAAAAAAGTAAAAAAGTGTGTAAGAGATAAGAGCCATAAATAGTGATTAGGTGCTTAATGTCTACAGAGGTCAGGTAGGTGAAAAAATGAGAAAAGCCAGAGTGATAAAGTCTAGAGCCAAAATTATTCACATCAAATCTTTGAAAAAACATGTGAGGTCCAAACACACACACACACACACACACACAGCCAACATTTCTCTTAAGACCTTAAAACTCTAAAAATACGGTGGCAGACTTGCACATACCTTTAACAACAATGCATACACAATGTGAGAAGTTAAATGAACTATTTCTTAAAAATCCAGAAAACACTGAGGTATATAATAATAACAGCCAAAACACAACAACAAAAATACTATATTATCTGGTTCTGGAAGTCACTTAGCGTTACAATCCGTTCTGCTTCTAATTTCACAATTTGTCCTTAGAATCATATACATAATTTAATGAGAAAATAGGAGCAAGAAAGTGATAGCAGACTTTTTAGTAATAGTATAGCAGAAAATACAGCTGACCATATCAAGAGAATAACCCATTTTAATTAGGCAGACTGCTGAAGAATATATACCTAAAATAAATGTTGGAAAGAGCTTCATTTTTATTTAATACTTTTTTTTATTTTAGAGACAGAGAGCTAGCGAGAGCAAGCATGAGCAGGGGAGAAGGGCAGAGGAGGAGAGGGAGAAAGAATCGTAAGCAGGCTCAATGTTTGTCGCATGGCTCAGCACAGGGCTCGATCCCATGATCTTGGGTTCATGACCTGAGCCAAAATCAAGAGTCGGACACTCAACCAACTGAGCCACCCAGGTGCACCAGAAATAGCTTTAGAAGAATACTATCTGATCTTTCTTGATCTTACAATAGCTTAAATGGAGATATTATCTAAGAATAAAATCATATATTAACTATACCCATGGTTTTCTTCATAATATTGTAGAACACTCCACCCTGCTGGAACATGTGAGGAAGCCCCTTTGCATAAGACCACACATCTTCTCCTGTAAAATAAAAACAGACAGTGTTAGCAATAACAGAAGAATTCAACCCAGGGTTGCTTAATGATTACCCTTGAACAGAGACTGCAAGGCAGAACTCCTAAATGAGTGATGCAGCTTGGAATAACATAAGGAGATGATACGGAGTGATGGCACTGTGGTAACTAGAAAAACCCTGACCTATCTGAAGGTGGCAGCCACTGCTAAGTGCCATCATAGCAGAGTCTAAGCCCAATGTTTTAAGACCATATGGCCTTTCAGGAGAAGCCAGAAACCTAAGTTTTTCGTGTGAATTCTCCCAATTTTTAAATGTAAAAACTAATTCAAAAATGTCTTTAAAACTGCATGAGTCAATACTGGGCATATTAAACAAAATACATCTGAAGACTCAATCCAACTCAAGGGAAGTGTTTCTCAACACTGAACTAAACCAACAGAGAGTTCTAGGAAGATACTTATCTTTAGCAAGTAGAACACAGAATAGTGTATTCTATATTTCTGTTAAGACTAAATAAAAATAGATGCAAGGGGCTAGGGAGAAAAGTAAACAGGCAGACTGAAGATCAGCAATTGATGCTGTATCGTGTTGTTCCAAAGTTGACTTTTTAAATAGAAATTTGGGGGTGGGGGTGCGAATGACTCGTTGAAGAGATTTAGGATAATCTTTATTAGTCCATAAAATGTCCCCAAGCAAATCACCGTTTCACAAAAATATTTTTTTTTTAAGAACATCCTTTGGCAGTGACTATTTCAATAAGAAGTGTCAAACAAAAAGTTAAGAAAGATAATCACTGCTCAAAAAGGTAATAAAGAATGGAAGGGACATAATCGTTACTTTTGGTATCTACTGGAATGGTTGTTTTTGTTTCCTTATAATTTCACTATTTTCTCATCTGATAATGTATACGCATTACTCTTACAATCAGAATTTTTCAAGTTAATCTTAACAAAGAAAGGTTTTTATTTTTCCTACTAGAAGATTATACTGGGTCTGAGCTTTGAATGGAGGTTACTGATGACACGGCTCAATCACCTGTACATGCAATCTCTCAGCTCTAACCCCTCCCTACGTTTATAAACAAATAAGCATCTGCATGGCAGTTGGCTCTAGTTATTCAGTACGTCAGTTTAAAGTATGTACATTTTAAAAGCCTAGGCACTTAAAGTTTCTGCTAACTAGAACATTTACTTACACACAAACACTTCATTCATTAATGATACAGTACTACCAGAAAATGGCTAACTTTAAGGGTAGGCACACAAATTTAAAATTTTAATATTAATAGAGGCGCCTGGGTGGCTCAGTCGGTTAAGCGTCCAACTTCGGCTCAGGTCATGATCTCATGGTTCACGGGTTCAGGCCCCACGTCAGGTTCTGTGCTGACAGCCTGTTTCAGATTCTGTATCTCCCTCTCTCTCTGACCCTCCCTTGCTCACGCTGTCTCTCTCTCTCTCTCTCTCTCTCTCTCAGAAATAAAACATCAAAAAATTTTTTTTTAATTTTTAATATTAATAAAATCCCCCAAATAATGAAGTAGAAGTTCTGATTGCTGAACTTATCATTAAACTCCATTTGGATAGATTATTTCTATGATAACCTTTCATTTACTTATCAATAGTACCTTGGACTAAGTATTTTATAAAATAGCAGAATATAATTTATTTGGAAAACATAAAAAATTAGAATGGTGTAGCACTTTTACTTTTTAAAATTTTTTTTTTTTTTTTTTTTTTTTATTTCTAGG